TCGGAGCTGGCGTTCGACTCTGCAGTTATGTGTTAGTGAAGCACCGAGGGTTTGGGCGAAGGGAGGATGCACACCTCTGTCGTCCTCGTCCATGTTGTCGGGCATGATGCTTAATGCCAGACGCCGAGGTCAAGTCAAATCTCAGTCGAAGTATTCGGGAAGCCGGTCAAGCGACAGGACACGGCTGATGGGCGCGAGGCGCCGCGGAATGCGACAACGAGCTGCTGATGCGAAAGGTACTGCGCCCGAGAGGGTAAGAGTGTCAATTGACGTCGCGGGGGGGGGTTGGCGGGGGCCAATCAAATCCGGCAAGTAGCTAGCTAGATATGATGTCGTTCAGATGTACGCAGGAGCGGCGATCTGAAGCTCGGCAAAGCTACAATATCTGAAGAGGGGTGGTGACATTCGGTTACAACAACGACGCGGTTCGACTGCTGGAGCTTGGAAATGGGAGATGCGTCGTGGAGGGGTCCAAACGCGGCGGCATGATTACATAACTGGTTCCCGACTGTGATGAACCCCCATCACCCCAGATTCCCTTCCCAGAACTCACCCCGGCGCATCACTCCTCCTACTCAAAAGGGTTCCAGCTCTCAAAAAATGCGCGAGCTGCATCTTTTATGTCTTCGAAGGCATTTAAATTCTCTGGTGGAAGGCTGATGAGGCGCCATATCATATGCCTACATACACGCCCACGCTGAGCCTATCATGAGATCCAAGGTACACGACGGAATCATAACAGAATCTACCAAAGACATATCTCTCCTTACCTTACTGAAGTCAGACACTAAGTCACATGTCTACTCCTTTTGCAAGAGTAAACAATAAGATTCAATGTTCACCACTAAGAGGAAAATTTGCTGCGTAGCGGTCAATCAAGGCATGGCCTGTCACCTGTGCCTTTCATGGTCGTGGTATACAGCCTTTCCGATTACTAACCAACACAGTCATTGAGACCCTGACACCTCATCAAATTGCAGTTCTAGAAAATGGCATCGGTCCCCTTCAAGTCAACATCCCTACGATGCTTCTTCCGTCCATCTCTTTCACTCTGGAGTGCATAGTTTGGCGACAGAGCAGCAGACACCGCCAAACTAAGCTGGCACATTAGGTATATTCTCGAGCAGGACCAATCATCAGTCAAGTCAATCAATGGGAACACAAATCCGGGAGCAATCGGAAACTAGCTAGCCCTTGCTGGACAAGTCTGAAGCAAAACATATGCCAGGGTTGCTTTGGACACGGGGGGTTACGAGAGAGTCGATAAGGGACACCACGATGTCGACGTACTTCATAAAATGTGACAGCCAAACACCAGAAAACGTAAGGACACTCCATTCCTCAGCGTGCTTCCTTGATGCAGGCATGTCTTCACGTAGACCGTGATATGGAGGCAAAAATAATCGAGTCTGCGTGAACTGGGAATCGAACCCAGGGCTCCCCGATGGCAACGGAGAATTTTACCACTAAACCATTCACGCTAGTTGATGACAAGGTGTGTCTCCTTACCGGAATATATCCTACGAAATGCTTCCACTCTAGGTAAGTTCGCGCTCCCAAATCAACATCTCCTTGCGTTACTCCACAACCCCATTGTCGTTTTCCGACTCCAACAACGCGGCTTCCTATGTGGTGAGTGTCAAAATCATTCTCCCCTGTATCGCCCTCATTCGTGATGTGTGACGCTGCTCCCCTGATATGGCTTCCATTGCCCAATATCAAACTCAAGTATCACACGGCCTTTCCGAGTGTTTGAGACCGATGTACAACACCAATTGAACTCAAGCATGCATAATCCACTGCGTGATGCCCACTGTGTTTAATTCATGCTAACTATCTTCGATCGTTCTATGTTCGTGGCATTCGGTAATGACAATCATGACGGCCGGCAGTGACGTTCGGACAGGCACCCAGCTCACCAGTCGGTATACTTGTGCTGAGACAAGGGATCGTGAAAGTCACTATGGGTATCAAGGCACCCAGATGACCGAAAAACCTGTGTAAAGGGTTGTGCCTCGTGTTGCAAAACAAATTTCGTCACCGACTTTGCGAGTATTGGCTATTCAAACCCCGCCCTTTTTCCAGAATTGAGCAATGGCAAGCAGGTTGCGCTCCGCAGCATGGTTCTAAAAACTGTTTGCAGAATCCAGCGACATATGGTTTGAAGAGCCATATGAACAAACGCCTTGATTGTGATAGTCTTTGAGAATTTGAGAGACTTCGTATTTGCTTCTGTCTCTGTACTATGCTTCCTGTGCCCAGCGGCATCCCTGTCTACTCTAGCTGATCGGTGTAAGGAGGGAGTGGTATGACGAGACGCGACTGCTGCCTGGGGTGAACAAAGCACCGCCATCGTCAGTCGAGGATGATATGAGCCTGCGTTCGCTGTCCATCTAAGCAGCAGGCTTCTCAGGCTGATCGACCTTGTCCACACGCCAGAGGCCATAAGGCCCGTCGCAGTTCTTCCACATTTTGATAGTACCGTCCTCTGATCCCGTCGCGTACAGTTTGTTGTCTGGCGAGAAAGCGATCGACCAAATGGGACCGTGGTGTCCCTTGTGCGTTTCTGTAACCGGATTAGATCTTTCACTGACAGTCCATCACAACACCAAGACATACCAATGTCACTTCCATCATCCCAGCGGCAGACCTTTCCCCAGGTGCCAGGCTCCTCACCGACCACGAACTTGCGGCCCTTGAGGTCAAGTCCGACGCTGGCAACTGTGTGCTTCATATCGAGACGCTTCAGCTCCTGCGTGGCATCAGGTCCACTCCAGAAATAGACCCAGCGACCAGCAGAGACAGCCAGCACGGGCAGGCCACCACCGATGTCCGTGAGTGATGTGTACTCAGGAGCTAGCGAAACAAGCTCGCATGACTTGATCTCGCCGTCGAGAACCTCCTCCTTGATAAGCTGCCGGCTTGGCAGATCAAACCAACGCAGCGTCTTGCCTGAGGCGGTGACAATAATGCTGGGGTTCTGTGTCCAAACAATAATCTTGATCGACTCCTTGTGAATGCCCTCGCCAATTTCGTGGCCAGTGGAGGCGGCAATCGTCTTTGGCTCGGAGGCAGGGCTTGATGTGTTGTGAGACAGTCCATGCTCAGAAAGGTCGAACAGGCGCAGCTTCTTCTCATGGCCACCGGTGGCAATGAGATCCGAGTTGTCGGGGGGATAGGCGACGGCGCGGACGATATGATCATGCTGAATAGTAAGTAGAATCTCGCCGGTGTGGGTGTCCCAGATCTTGCTGTGGATGACACGTCAGTTATACTGCATCAGGCATGTGGCGCATACGAACGAACGTACGCAGTGAAGTCGGCCGAGGCAGTGGCCGAGTTGCTAAGGTCGGGGCTCAGCCTGGCCTGCCAGACAGCACCCTTGTGACCGATAAAGGTGCCAATCCAGTCGCCGGTGAGACCATCGCGGAAGCATGGGATTACCATCCTTGCAAGCAGAGATCATGAAATACTGGCCGTCCTTCTCGAGCGGCGAGAAGCAGATGTGCGGGACGGGGCGTGAGTGGCCGTGGCACGTGAGGGGGACGTAGGTCCGTGCTGCGCCTGTGTCGGTCGACATGATGTTGAGGTGTTTTTGAGGAGTCGCTATGTCGATTTCGAAATACGGGGTTGTGCAAGATGCGCGCGACAATCAGGGGGCGTCGAAAGGTTTGTCTGGAGGCGTGCTGTCGCGACGGTGGTGATGTGAGCCGAGGGGTATCGTTATGGTGATAAAGGAAAACAGCCGTGACGTCGTAAAGTCGTAGCGTGCCTGTCGTGACCAGGATCGAAGGAGGAGAACGTTGCAGGCACTCGAGATGGGACGGAAAAGGAGTGGCCACCGCCTCGAATGTTGGAGAAGACCGTGAAGAACGACGTGGGAAGAAAGTAGAAATGCAGATGCCCGTCCACAGCAATCGTCCCGTGTCTCGACCAGTGTGGGGCAAAGGAAGGAAGGAAGGAAGAAGGGGGTAGGGGAGGAGGGGGGTTCAAATTGGCACTGGTAGCTGCTAGCTGGCTGTCGCTCACGTTGCTGGAAGCAAATGGACCCTGACATGAGACGTGCCCCGCCATCAAGGGGCCGGGCCCACTGTGGACGATCCGTGCTGAAGCTTGAGTCACGATCCGAGGATTAGGCGGAAGCTCTGCTGTAGAAGCTCCTCCTTCCCCTGGCGGGCGGCAGGAAGCAGCGCGGGGGATTACCTAACTCGCACCGGCCATGTGCGTGGGTACACCATGCCGCTGGCCGCCTACTCCCAGCTTCCATCGTCATCGGTAGCTCAGTTCCCAAGACGCTCTGGTCTCCTCATCTTGACAAATCACCTTGTCCCCTTTCTCCGGCCACACGGTTGCCACACGAGCGCTCCCGATTTTGGTCCTTGTTTGATCGTTCAATGCTATGAATCCTGCTGTTCTGCATCGCACCCATTCGATTTCTTGACGCAGGTGACCCTACAGCACCGACACTCTCTGGCCAGCCATCCAACAAGCTATCCGACCCATCCCTACCCCGCCGATCCGCCATGACTGACTTCAAGCTCTCGGCCCAACTCACCGGCCACGACTCTGATGTACGTCGCTGGCAAACCTGGGAACAGTACCCTCAATATTCTTGAATTAACGCATTTATCTTTGCCTCGCAGGTCAAAGCCGTCAGCTTTCCTTCTCCCGATGCCGTCTTGACCGCGTCCCGCGATGGCAGCGTCCGCAAATGGCAGCGAACCGGAACCTCCCCGCCAACATTTGAACCTACAGTCTCCAGCCAGAACTCGGAATTCGTCAATGCCGTAGCGTATCTTCCCCCTTCCAACCTCTTCCCGCAAGGTCTTGTGGTATCTGGGGGCAAGGACACCTTTGTCGAAGTGCGCCAACCGAACGCCTCGGCAAGTGATGATGCCGAGCGTCTCCTCGTCGGCCACTCCCAGAACGTCTGCAGCATCGATGTGTCCCCGACTGGCAACTATATCGTGTCGGGGAGTTGGGACTTTCAGGCCCTCATCTGGAGCACAACATCATGGGAGCCAGAGGTGCGGCTGAGTGGCCATGACAAGGCTGTCTGGGCTGTTCTGGCGCTAGATGACAACACGGTGCTGACCGGCTGTGCCGACGAGAACATTCGCATTTACGATCTTCGTAAGGCGGTCGCTGGAGAGGCTGCACCGGCATCCACCATCACCACACCAGACGTTGTACGTGCGCTGTGTCGCGTACCCAAGGGCCACCCGAGCGGCGCCGACATCGCCAGCGCCACCAATGATGGTATCATTCGGCTGTGGAAACTCAATGGCCAGCAAGTTGCCGAGCTGATCGGCCACGAAAGCTTCATCTACTCGTTGGCAAGCCTGCCATCCGGAGAGCTACTGAGCGCCGGTGAGGATCGCACACTAAGGGTGTGGAAGGGCATTGAGTGCATCCAATCCATCACGCACCCGGCAATTTCGGTGTGGGCTGTGGCGGCGGACCCCGAGACAGGTGACATCGTGTCTGGCGCCAGCGATGGCGTCGCTCGTATCTTCACCCGCAGCAGCGACCGACTGGCGGATGCGGAAACCCTTTCCAGCTTCGAAGAGTCCATCAAAGCGTCCTCGATTCCTCAGCAGCAACTACCTGATATCAACAAGGAGAAGTTGCCAGGGCCTGAATTCCTCCAACAGCGATCTGGCACAAAGGAGGGCCAGGTGCAAATGATCAACGAGGGCAACGGCTCAATCACAGCCCATCAGTGGTCTGCGAGTAAGCATAACCCCATCGTAGACGCCCATCGCATACTGACAAAGCATAGGCCAACAGCAATGGATAAGCATAGGCACAGTGGTCGACTCCGCTGCGAGTAGTGGCAAGAAGACGGATTACAAGGGTAAGTCATACGACTTTGTATTTGACGTTGACATCGAAGACGGAAAGCCACCCCTAAAGCTTCCTTACAACCTCTCGGAAAACCCTTACGAAGCCGCTACTAAGTTCCTCGGTGATAACGAGCTGCCCCTCACGTACCTCGACAATGTCGCCAACTTTATCACCCAGAATACACAGGGTGCGACACTTGGTCAGGCAGCCCCCCCGGCTGCCGATCCGTACGGCACTGAGGCCAGGTATCAACCTGGCGAGCCCGCCGCGAAGCCTAATGTGCTGCCCCAGAACGATTTCCTTAGCATTACAGCGGCTAAGTACGATGCCATGGTCAACAAGATCTTGCAGACCAATTCCAATATGATCTCATCAGGTCGCAAAGACTTTGCCCTCAACCCCACAGAGCAGGCATCGCTACAGGAGCTCCGCCAGGCAGTAGAAAATTCGAAAGCCATCAGCGAACCTGGACTCAACTTGGCGATCAAAATCGTTTCTAGATGGCCGTATACCGACCGGCTTGCAGGCCTGGATCTCCTGAGGTGTATGGCACCATCACCGGTTGTCGCTGGATACTCGTCAATTCTCGGGTCTATTGTCCAAGTGGTCATCAGCAGTGCCGCAGATGTCCCCGAAGGCGGCCCGCCCAACGAGAACAGTGTCATGATGGCCCTCAGAACTGTCGCCAACCTGTTCAGCTCCAAGGAAGGCCGTGAGGTCGTAGCCAAAGAGGCCTCGACCGTGGCCTCTTTCCTGGAACGCGTTGTGGGCATAGCCGACGGAACACCCATCGGTCAACACAACCGCAACCTGCTCATTGCCGCGACTACCACCATCATCAACTACTCCGTCCTGAGCCGGAAAGACAAGGTTGTCTTTGAGGGTTCAGACCTGCCCAAGCAATTGCTGTCAGTATTGGGCAAGATCCTGACGGAACAAAACGACTCCGAGGTGCTATACCGCGGTCTTGTCGGACTGGGTACTTTCGCCACGAGTCATAAAGCTATTGCTGAGTCGCTCAAGGCACAGGAGTGGGTGAAAGCGGCCAAAGGCAAAGCTACTGAACCCAGGGTGAAGGATGTCGCTGGAGAGTGCTTGGACCGCCTTTGGTAGGCTTGCGATTTATGAATTATGATGGATGAAGCATTGGCATAGAGTAGGAGGACTATCAACAGGCTTCAAATGAAGGTTTGCCCTTGCTGCAGGTATATAGTCTAATGAGATGTTGCCAAAGGGGTGAAGGTGCCATTCTGTGAGCTGTACGGTATTTGGCTAGCCGTTTGTCCATTGAACATGTTGATCCAGGGCTTCGTTGTCTTGAACTTGATGACGAAATGTATAAATTTCGCAGATTCTTGTGGAGAATATGCTCGAGCACTGAGTGTGTGTCTGGTACACGGGATCGCCCAAATAGCAGCCCCAAGTGTGGATCAAGATCATTTTGATTCCTCTCGTCCTGCTAGTAAGGACAGACTCATGTAATAAACAACACGATGATGGGAGGGAGAGAATGCCCCCCCGTGGTATCTGTCTGTTTGACAGAACACCTACGACTACGATGAAAAGAACGGATTTCCCAACCTCCGCACGTGTGGCGTCCCTGATTTCGCCCCGAACGCCGCTGATCTATGCCTCGGATATACAAGATGAAACAAATGTCCCAAAAACGAAAAAAACAAACACCGCGCCAGCCCCTCGGGTAGCTTCT